ATATACATCAGCACAGAACATTACAGATATCATATACATTGATTTGACACTAAATGCTAACATAATTACAGATACCAACTGCATTGATAAAAACATTGGTTCGTTGTATAAAAAAAAACCTATATATAACATTACATGAAAACCATACATTATTACACAATTACTACCAAATACGCTATTACTTAATTGAAAAAGCTCATTGAGCAAGGTTGTGGACTTCTCGTCTAAAACTGTCAACAGTGCCAGCAAAAACGTCCAGAGAATACTTGCTATACAAATTATTTAATTCCCCAACTATTATAAATTTCGTTTCTCCAGACGAGCGGTATCTATCACTGGGCACCAGTAACCACTGAGCATCAGATAAGCCGGTGAAAACGGTTTCTGGCTAAATGGAACAAAATACTATAAACTTATGCTTTGATTTACTTTTAAACAGCATGATAATCCTATCCGAATACGTGGCTTATCATATTAGTGTTATCAGTTGTTCATGTTTTGTTAAAACTCGTCCAAGTTTAATTGGAGAATAGTTTGTTTGGTGAATCGTTTGTCAAGGGTTTTGCAAGCTTACGTTCGCTAGAGGACACAGTACCTTACGTGATAATTAGTTTGTTTGACTTAACACTCAGTAGGTGCAGTCCAAATTAATTCGGTATTAAGTCGTCATGGCCGGTATTCGAATCCTAGGCGGGTACCAATTTTTCTAATGAAATACGTACTCAACAAATGTTCACGATTGACTTCCACGGCGAAGGAATGACATCGTGTAATAAAAATCAAACCCGCAAAATTATAATTTGCGTAATTACTGGTGGTAGGACCTCTTATGAGTCCACACGGGTAGGTACCACCACCCTGCCTATTTCTGCCGTGAAGCAGTAATGCGTTTCGTTTTGAAGGGTGGGGCAGCCGTTGTAACTATACTGAGACCTTAGAACTTATATCTCAAGGTGGGTGGCGCATTTACGTTGTAGATATCTATGGGCTCCAGTAACCACTTAACACCAGATGGGCTGTGAGGTCGTCCACATCTAAGCAATAAAATAAAAAAAAAACCATAAATTATTTTTCCCCTATGTATTCGCAGGTAGCCTAAGAGACTATACCAGCTACACCCGCACGGGTATGTGAGCTCACGGGCTCAACCTAAAAGAATTTGCCAACACTAGCCCTAGCAAGAGCAGCGCTTGCAGAATTTACTGTCGGATCGGAATCGCGACCCATGACAGGCGAGAAACTCTAAGGACTGTGTCTCTGTGATTTGCTTAATGCATAAAATGAACAAACATTGCCGATATGGCGTAAGTGGTTACCGTGGCCCATAAACATTACTATGTGAATGTCTACCTCCAGACGCAATGTCGATGTCTCAAGTATATCAATACAACAGCTATCGCATCATTTAAGCCGGGTCGCATGACAATTTTGCTGCGGAAAGAAGTAGAGAAGTAGAATGTTGTGTCATGCTTGGTTCACCTATACGGGCTCCCAATATGAAAAATAAAGTTTTGGGATGTATAAACTTCTTCGAACACAGATTAAACCAATGCAATTTTATATAATGTTATTAACAATCTTGAGGTTTGAGTATTTTGTTCGAGTTAGAAGTTTACAAATATATAATAAGTTATAATATAATTTAATTATAAGTTGCGAGGTCAAAACGTAAATTGTTCTAGTCATGTCTATAAATCGTGAAAAACCATAAAATACACCAGAAACAATAATATGTAGGTATCATTGTTATTGTCGGCTGCAGAGACCTCGTTTTATGGGGTTTGTTTTAAAGGCTGTTTGAAAAAGAATCTTGAATAAGTTCAAGTTTCGAAAGAAGAGCAATGTTGATCAAAACTCGACAAAAAAACCCGGGCCTGTTTGTCTTGATACTTATCAATTAATGATACAATAAAATCCATTTAAGTTCATTCGTTTAATTCGATTTTACGGTTTTAATATTTAACTAACTCTTTCCAGTTGCTTTTCTCGTTTTCCATACAGAAAACAAAATCGTAGGGATAGTTTCTTAACAAACTGAACCGCTCAAAAGGAACAACATCGCAATATAAGATACATATTATACCGCCATCTATCGAGCATTTCTGTGAACTGTAAATATAAACTTAATTTTCATAACCCTCTGCCCCCTAATTAAAAAGTAATTACAAAATCAACAAAATTATAAAGCCTACGCGGTAATGCTGGCATGATCCACAGAAGTGCGAAAAATATGTATTTAGAAGTCACAAGAGTCATAGTCGGGCTATAACGATACAGATGTAGGAAATTCACCCATGAAAATATGAATATTATATACAACTAGCTGTACCCGCCCGCTTCGCTGGGCAATCATTAACGCCCCCGCAACTAGTGTAGTCCAACACTCATATAAATATTAGCCTATCCATTAAGTACATGTATTTTCTACATGGATATCAAGTTTCAAGTAAATCGGATGCACGGTTCAGTAGTTATAACGGAACATCCGTAAAAATCGCTGTAGATTTATATATTAGTATAGATTATATTATAATCACAAAGTATGTATTACTATTTTATTTGAACCTACTTACTATGTAAACAAAGACAGGGTCAACCAATGTGTTTGATTATACATTAACATATTTTCAGTATACGTCATCAATATACCGTCGTGACCTAAAGGATAAGACGTCCGATGCCTTTGTAAATTGCGATGCACCTGTGATTGAATCCCGCAGGCAGGTACCAATTTGTCTAATGAAATACGTATGTACTTAAAAAATGTTCACGATTGATTTCCACGGTGAAGGAATAATATAGTATAATAAATAAATCAAACCCGCAAAATTATAATTTGCGTAATGACTGGTGGTAGGACATCTTGTGAGTCCGCACGGGTAGTTACCACCAGCCTGCCTATTTCTGCGGTGAAGCAGTAATGCGTTTTGATTTGAAGGCCCATCCTTCAAGCCATTGTACTGTAAAAACTGAGACCTTAGAACTTATTATGATATGCGATTTTAATAGATAACATAATGAACCAATTAAAATATTCGAATAGACATTGATTTTTCAGCAACAAGTACCACACCCGTGATGAATAATTTCAATTTAAAAAGTTCTTTAGTGTTTTCCACAATATGTATGTATTCCGTATTCATTGTATCCAAGAACTTTAATTAAGTTAAATGCTCAATTTTTTTCCTGCAACCGAACGTCCGCCTCCGATTGTGTGAATCGTAATTGTATTGTCATTAAGGACATTGTTCCGCGACAACTGTCGTGTTTGTTTTCAAAATAAATCCATGTTTGCCTAACAATTTTACGTTGAGATAATTTTCAATGGAACAAATATGTGCATACAACGTTTGTGTAAATATTATACAGGCTGAATCGATTTTATATTCCCGATCCCGACACGACCAATCGACAATTCGGTAATCTAAATAGGCAATTCTTCGGTAGTCTCTACACGACGATTTGAGGGGTATTTTTTCCATCTATTGGCTGGTAGCCTAAGCGGCTATTTCAGTTTCTCGCGGACTGGTAGGAGAGCTCCGGATTCAACCTGAGAGAATTTGCCAACACTAGCCCTAGCAAGAGCATTGTTTCGCAGAATCTACTGCCGGAACGGAATCGCGACCCACTGAGAAGATCCGATGAGAAACTCAGTGGGCTTTAGGGTTCCATATTAGTGTTTGTCACTTGTGTTGAACGAAGTATTTGAATGGTAATAAATACACTTTCACCTATCTTTGTTTTGCGGTTCTGTGGCTATTCACAGTCAAATCGGAGGCCGTAACTTTTCGAGGCACCGTTTGTGTGTCATTACGACAAGGCAGAAACAATCTGCGTTGTATATTTTCAATTTCTGTTTCCGTAGTCTGACCAACAAGGGAATCCGCTCCGTCCAATGCGATAGGTATTATGATGGAAGACGCTTTACTTTTTTTATTGCTTAGATGGGTGGATGAGCTCACAACCCACCTGGTGTTAAGTGGTTAGTGGAGCCCATAGACATCTACAACGTAAATGCACCACCCACTTTGAGTTCTAAGGTCTCAAGTATAGTTACTCTTCAGCAGATGCTTTCACAAAGCAAAGTTGCTCCGATATCTAATATCTGACATGGCGCTTGCTGTTAGCCTCGCTCTAGGAGAGCAACGCCGTATATTTTTCGCTCAAGTAGGACTTGGTTTTTCTTCCATTATTAAGCTTCTGCGCTCGTAATATATCTCGGAGCGTGAAAGATAGAACTACTCTCTTTCTGCACCTAGGAAGTCTGGTAGCGGAAATGTTGTTTGGCAATTTCGTTGGCTTTTGCGAATCAATAATCAATCATCAATAAAAAGGCAATTTCATTACCAGTTATCACGATTTTACGCGAAATAATAGCGAGATTAAAAAGTATCTTTAACCACAATTACTTGGTGTTAAAATGTTCATTCTTCGACCACCAAGTGAAAATATTTATTTTAGCAAATGGTTGTGTATGTGTGTGTCTATGTGTGTATTTCCTGTAAACTTGTACAAGCATTAATAGTTGTACTTGTTACATTCGTAAAATGTTCACTTTCTTGAAAGTTCAGACAACTTTGCTATTACCATAATATTACAAGTAACTAACTATAAGTAATTGATTTGTTACACTGAGAGCCAGACGATATAACATGAATTTTTCGCCATTAAAGGTAAAAGTATTTTATTTTTAATTACACCTGTTAACTGTGTGTTAATTTAAAAGAACCAGACGACCTCACAATTATATAATTAATTTCTGTAATTGATGACAATAAAATTATAACAGATACAGAGATATAATTACAGATTTAAATTAATTCTGCTCGCTAAAAATATAAACTAGATCTGTAAATTCGTAAAAAAAAGTATTTTTTGTAAAACAATGCGCTTCTGATGTCGGATAATAATAGAGCTATCGTAATGAAAAATATATCTGTAAAAATAAGTTTATCTAGTATCGTCTTTTTTTTAAATACATTAAAAGTCGCTAAACTTACCTTTTAAGCTAATAAATAAACTTTCACAATCGGCTCTTTTCACTTCACTACTGTTTCATTAGATCATTGATAATGCGTATACGTAATTCTTAAAGATCTTAGTTTTGATTAACAAATTTATAATCCGTCAACGAATTTTTAGGAGTGTTGCTTTTTTTTTTGTATCTCTATTTGTATGCAAATTCGTTTCGATCTATCTCGCGGCCGCTGTCCTGAGTACGCGTTCGTTGCAAACGCTCACGGCTAGGTGATTGCAGTTAGTTCGCACTGGCTCACATTCATAACTATTTCGACAAGTCGGTTACTAGCGGATGTCCAGAGACGCGGACGTCGTCGTGTCAATAGCTCATCGCGTGAACTCGACCACACAAGAGAGTTAATGTAGCATTATGTACTGAGAAAGTGAGGTTGCTGATTTTTATGTTCCACAAATTTCAGTATTAAAAATGAATTCGATGAATCTTCTTCTTCTATATATATAAAAATGAATTGCTGTTCGTTAGTCGCTAAAGAGAACAGCTGGACCGATTTGGCTAATTTTGGTCTGGAATTATTTGTGGAAGGCCAGAGAAGGTTTAAAAGGTAAATAAATATAAAATGCTCGAAATTAAATAAAAATGAAAATTTGGTTTTCCCTTTGATGTGTACTCCGTCGGACGGATTCCTTTTGTTTGTTTTAAGTTTATTTTATACAAAAGCTTAGGTCTTTTATTTATCATTGACATTGAGGGGTCAGTGTTTTGTTTAGGATCTACAGGAAACTATTAGACTTACGTATACACGAAAGAAAGGAGAAGGAAAGCGGAGTTTGAAGTTTGAGTGAAGTCCAGCATTACTAAAATTCCCTACCGCAAAATTTCCGTGCCCCGCGTCCTGGTATCAAGTGAGACAGAAAATAAACGAAAAAAGCGGTTTTAAGTACTACAATAGAGTCTCAAGTTAATTACACACACAATTTTAACGTTGGCAACGACTTAGCTCTGCCTCTGGCATTGCTGACGTCCACGGGCGACGGTAACCACTCACCATTAGGTAGGCCGTTTGCTCGTTTGCCTACAAGGGCAACAAAAAATAAAAACAATTAAAACAATAATCAAATATCCTCCGAACCAAACACAGTAAGTATTATCGTAAAAAAATAGTTTAACTAAAGCGTCACTTATCGTTGGACATAATTTTATGTACACCACATTATCACTTCATTATTCTCGTAATCTAAAGTGCATAGCTCTGAGCGATTGTTCATCGGAGCAAATATACATATACATATAAAGTTTTTTTAATCCTAACAAAGGGAATAACACTAATTAATGACTATTGTTATTACGATTATCACAGATTGAAATTGCCAATGATCTAGTTACGTGATATGAAAACGAATGAAAATAAATCGTTTTCAAGCGAAACAGCAACAGCGCTTGTCCGCATGTATCCGTTTTGCATGACATCAATCAATTTAAAAATCACCGTAAGAAACCTGTTACGTCGCTTATTTTTTTTAAATATTTCATTTCTAAATGTAAAAAAAAACAATTATAGAGTAATTAATTATTATTGTCAACAGAAGACTGTTTTTGAAATCGAAGTTAAGCGCTTTCGATACTTTAGTGATAGTAGTAATGACGCAATCGTGCAGTAAACATTTTTTCTTATCTCATTCGTTTCGTAATTTTTCTACTGCCTTTTAATTAGCTGCAGTGGACAGCCGAGTTTATAGTCCAGGTGATGTAAAGAGGTTAACAGTGAAATAGATAAAAAAACAACAAGAAAACTCTTTTCATCCTTTAAAATATTAGAATATAACCGTTATGTCTAGTAGCGTAGGTATTCAGGAAGTGTATGTTAATTATATATTGTGAACAACAACAGCTGTGAAACTTAATACATTTTTGAAATATGTATTTTTTTGTATGTATCTTAAATTTAATTCCACATTGTGTTCACTTAGATACGCTTAATTTGAATGTAAGCCACGTTTTTTTTTCAACAATACGTCGCAAATATACGTTTTGTACAATACAAAATTTTCATTAGTCGTACGTAATATAATATAAAACCAAAAAAAAAAATGTTAAATGGGATTGATGATTGATTGAAACTGCAGAGATATAAAAAACGAACTATTTCATTAATTATTAAGAATATTGTTTACCCAAACAACAGATGACAAATGCTCTTCAGAAATAGAAAATCCACTGGATGTTACACGTACTGGCAATGGCAAAGAAATATCACATATAAATCGCATATAAAAATTAAATAGTTAATATGCCTTTACATATTTGAGAAGCATTACGCTTCTCCCCCCTTCTGCACCCCTTCTTCAAACCAAGTTTGAGAAGAATCCTCAACGGCATACAGCCGCTTAGCTGTCTCGCAAGAATTACTAATGCAAATACCTATATGACTTAAAAAAAACAAGTTACTTCAAAAACAATCTAAGCCGTATTAACTGAATGAGCTCCCCTCCACGGTGTTTCCCGAGCGCTATGACATGTCCTTCTTTAAAAGAGGCTTGTGGAGAGTATTTAGCTGTAGGCAGCGACTTGGCTGTGCCCCTGGCACTGCTGAAGTCCATGGGCGACGGTAACCACTCACCATCAGGTGGGCCGTATGCTTGTCTACCTGCAAGGGCAATAAGAAAAAACCGAGCTCTTTATCTTTATATGTATATTACATTACATTAATATTTCGTTTCATGTAAGTCATATTCGTTCATAGGTCGAAAAAGGTACGTGAATTCCACAATTTTTTTTTTTTATTACTACTGAGATCAGCGGACAAATTCGCGCCATTTCTGTAACGATAAACATAGACAAAACAATATGTCGCCTACCTTGAGACAATGACATATGGTCGAATTACTGGTGGTAGGACCTCTTGTGAGTCCGCGCGGGCAGGTACCACCACCCTGCCTATTTCTGCCCTGAAGCAGTACTACGTTTCGGTTTGAAAGACGGGGCAGCCGTTGTAACTATACTTGAGACCTTAGAACTGATATCTCAAGGTGGGTGGCGTATTTACGTTGTAGATGTCTATGGGCTCCAGTAGCCACTTAACACCAGGTGGGCTGTGAGCTCGTCCGCCCATCTAAGCAATAAAAAAATCTTTTTTTTTTTTTCAGCTGTCTAATTTTTCAAAGCGAAATGGCAGTACCTACTTGCGTAGAGAATACAATACATTCTTTTTCATGTAATTATACTTTATAAGCGTTGGTTTTGCAGGACAAGATCCGTTGTCAGTCATATTTATGAAATAAGGTACGTACACAATTAATTACAATTATATTTAATTGGGAAAGTTGGTACCTAGCCGAGTATTCGGACCAGATCCATGCATTTATATATACTCATTGAATCTTAAACATTGAATTGCAAATACGTATTACGTATCCACTGTATAATGACACAACTTATTATTTTGATATCCTTGTACTTGACCTCATCAAAATATAGTTTCATTGTGTGCGCTCGCCTTTTGTATAGTGAAAGTAACGGAAGTTCAAAACCCATAAATTCATAATCATACAATGTGTACTTCTATCGTAGTATGACCTGATTCTATCTATAATAGGACGATCGAACGCAGTCTTCCGACATTAGATAAGATGTGATTAAAAAAACTCAGTTTGACGCAAAATTGTTTTTTTTTTATTGCTTGAGAGGTGGACGAGCTCGCTGCTCACCTGTTGTTAAGTGCTTACTGGAGGCCATAGACATTTACGACGTAAATGCGCTACCCACCTTGAGATATAAGTTCTAAGGTCTCAAGTATAGTTACAACGGCTATAGGGTGGGGACCCTTCAAACCGAAACGCATTATTTATTTTATTTATTTATTTCACTTCATGTAAAATTTACATTGGCGGACTTAATGCCTAAGGCATTCTCTACCAGTCAACCAAAGGTAGCGCAGAGTAGATAGTGGTAGGTGCAATGAAATTTATATTAAGTTACAAAAAGTATATACATATTATATTATAATACATATTATATTACAATACTTTGTATTAATTGTATGTATATTTACGGAGATATGTATGTGTACATATATGTATATGTATTTCACTGGAATGGTACACCGCGCGTAGTTCGTTTCCAAATGATTCTTGTCCACCTGATGGTTGTCTGTCTGGAAGAGATCGCTCTTAGCGATAAGACCGCCAATTGTACTTTTTTGTTTTTAATGTATCGCACTGTTTATTTGTTTTTTGGTGTACAATAAAAAATACTCTCTCTCTCTCTCTCTCTCTCTACATACATACATACATACACACATACATACACACACACACACACACATACATACACACACGTACATACATATAATACTATGATTTACTGCTTCACAGCAGAAATGGGCAGGGTGGTGGTACCTACCCGCGCGGACTCACAAGAGGTCCTACCACCAGTAAAATCCTGGGTACGGCTGGAGAGCACGTACATCGGATCGGACTGTGGATGCAACTCGAAACGCGACTCCGTTTCACAAATCGTAATCTGCAAACGGAATATTTCGATCGAGGAAGTGTTTCGCAACAAAACGTGAAGATGCTTTTTTTTAAAAAAATTAAATCGTGATCCGTTAATTGAAATGAATGTAACCATTGAACGGAGTTCTCGAGTGAGCTTGACTTGTAGGCCGTGACATATACGCGAAGTCGTGTTTTAGTTACATTCAGATCACATGTGCTTTGTGCTGCAATTTTACTAATGAATGTCAGTGCAAGGTAAGTTGATAAAATGAACAGTTTTATTTTTACGATTTTTTTTATCTCTAAGCTTTTTTTTTTCTTTCTTTTTTCTACTTAAGCTTTGAGCCTTGATATGCTATTTCATCGTAACCTTAACTAGTAGGTGAGCTCACGGGGCTCAAACCTGACGACGTTGCTAACACGAACCCTAGCAAGAACCGTACTTTGCAGAATCTACCACCGGATCGGAAATGCGACCCACTGAGAAGATCCGGTGAGAAACTCAGTGGGCTGTGTCTGAGGGTTAATTTACTCGTCGAGCCCTTCGTCGCAAGTGACAGGTTCGACGAGAACGATGACCGGTGCTTGAGGTACCTAAAAGCACCGTTAGTGGATCGGGAGGATCCGAAATGACGTGTTTTGGGCGACGTCGACTGCTTTCCATTCTGTCCGCAGGATTGGGAATGGGTTACTAAACAAGAATGGCACAAAACCAGTTACAATACAAGTAAATAAAATTTATGACGTTTATGAAACAATACAAGTCGCTATAACAAAAAACACAAGTGATTGGTAACAAGGACCTTTTTGAATTCGTTAAAAGAATAATTATAATTATTTTGCGTGAAATGACTTTAATAGTACGATAAGAAACACAGCGACTGTTTACTTGTGTTGATTGGTAGCAATCTTAAATGAGCCTTGAAGACTAACCTTCAATTGACGGATCTGTCTGCATTTCAGTAATGCACAAAATCACTTACGCTTTGAAAAGCAAAACTTACGAAGGATATATTAACGGAGTGTCAGTTTTAATGAACCTTGTATTTTTTACAATTAACTACAACTAACAATTACTACCCGTTTTTTTTTTCTTGAAACAAAGTAATTATATCTATATCTATATCTATATCTATCTATCTTCTTAAATATAAAAATGAATTGCTGTTCGTTAGTCTCGCTAAAACTCGAGAACGGCTGGACCAATTTGGCTAATTTTGGTTTTGAATTACTTGGGGAAGTCCAGAGAAGGTTTAAAAGGTAGATAAATATGAAAATGCTCGGAATTAAATAAAAATAACAATTTTGTTTTTCCTTTAATGTGTCCCCCGTCGGATGGATTTCTTTTGTTTGTTTTAAGTTTATTTTATACAAAAGTTTGGCTCTTTTATTTATCGATTGAGGCACTACGAAATCTGCCGGGTCAGCTAGTTTAAAATAAAATTTATTAGCCTTTATCTTATGGCGTTAGCTGGAAATCATAAAGTAGGAAGATTCGAGAAGTCATGGCTCCGAAATATCACAGAGAAACCAGTCCAGGTTTCGAGTTTATCGTAGATACTCACTAGACAAGATGTTTAAATAAACCTCCGACTTCCAGTAAGACATTTAAAGAGAATACCTAATGGCAATTATCAAATATACATAAAACGACAATTAAATAATATTAACATACGCCAATACGACATTGAAACATAATCTATTTATCTTAACATCTCGCACAATTGTCGTGATTTTGTCAATGATCTTCGAGGAAGTGTCGAACCATTAATGCGAACCTCGCGTAACCGGCGTGTACAGGCTAATGGATTAACCGCAATAATAATATCTAACATCACATAGTACTATTATGTATTCAGCTCGTCGACAACAAACGCGATTTTGTCATCTAAATATCGTTTGGAACTATAAAAAAAAATTACTTCGGAAAATATATGAAATTAAACGGCTTAATGGGTAAGTGGTGGTAATCTGATGTGCTCTGGTCGAGCTTATAATGCAATCATACTGAAATTAAAAAACTGCATGCAAGTACCAATCTTTCGAAGCAATTACATATCTAACAAATGTTCACGAACAACTTCTCCCATGAAGAAATAACATCGTGTATTAATAAAAATTCACGCAAAATTTATAAATTTGCGAAATCGGTGCTGATCGGGTGTATGATGAGCTTCGTGTGTCTCACTGGGTCCATATACGTCCACAATAGACTACATGCACAATTCTACCTATATAGTTCTGCCGCGAATCGTCATGCTCTTCAGTTCTAAGGGTAGGTTATACAATACGAATTACGCTTCGATCACATGTGTCAAGATAACTGGCAATATTAGCGCGAGCCATGACTATTTCTTATCGCGTTGGGTCCATATGCCTGCGCCAACAGAATGTAGCTAAAGACATCAAGAAATAACAAACAGAATGAATCAGCACGCCGTCTAGGACAGGTCGAATGCCGCATAATGGAGTAATTGGATAGGACAGGCATAGAATAGGCATGAGAATTTTCCTCTGCAACAGTTCCTTAAAAATTGAAGAATCTAGATTAGAGTAATTTCACTGAAATGCAGCTTATAAAGGACAGGTGGGCGAGCAAACGGTACAAAGCAAACGGTAAGCAAACGGTGTACGATTTGTAATGCGATGTAAAGGGTGTTAACTGCCCTTTATAAATAAAACAAATTAGTTCCAATTTTACTCCGTATATTGTCACAAGTGTCTGACGTGTCGGGCTGACTATATCAAGCGATGTACAAAACCGCATGCGCTACTCAGCTGTGTCCCTACAGGCACAGCCAGGAGGGAGTATACAGCCTATTATTCCCGCGAAATATCTATTTTCAAATTGGGATCCGAACGATATATCTGAGTATGGGCGTTACATTAACAATACAATGTCTATGACGGTAGGCAGTTATTTAAACGGTAGGCAGCTGCTTGGCTCTGCCCCTGGCATTGCTGACGTCCATAAGCGATGGTGACCACCCACCATCAGGCGGGCCATATGATCGTCTGCTTATACGGCAATAAAAAATTAAAAAAATAACTATGGCATCCACGTGCATTATGTCTGCACAATATAAAATATCCAAAATTTTCATCAAAATTATTAATCTATACCCAATCACACAAAAGTCTAGTAAAAAAAACAGCAAACTAAGAAACGGGAAGTGTTTTTAAATTAGGAACAACATTTCAAAATTAATAACATTTATTTTAACATAATTACAATATCAGTCAATCACTATCGAACTTTTGCAGTACTAAATCATTAATATACTCAATAACAATAGACCTATTTAATTTTAACATTATTCGTGGCTAATAGATCCGCGTCAAACTTTATCTTCGACAATACCTTCTATATCATTTGTTTTACTTTGAGGTACCTCATTGGTAACTATATCAAGAGAACCGTTTTTAGTTAGACCACAAAATGAACGCATTTTTCTTCCAAGATCATGCTTCTTAGCACAGTACAATACAATAATAAGCACTGTTAGAAACACAACTATAGCTCCCACTACTATCGGAGCACTTTTATCCATATCTTCTACTACTGCAGCCAAACGTAAGTTTTCTTTTCTTAAGAAATCTTCAAGAATCGAAAAGTATTCCAGGATTCCTTCGGTCGATAATTGTCTTTCCCCGGTCATTGTTTCGAGCACAGTTTTCCAATCTTCACTTGCGCCCAGTGCCATGCCATTGCTGGTAGGAAACATTATTTTACTATTACTACTGGCCTTGTGTCCTTAATTAGTTAAATTAATACACTAAAACTCAGTACTGCTGTATTGATTTAGAGGTCTAACATTTACAGAATGTGATTGTCACTTATTTCAGGGTTTTGTTATATAGTAATAATCTGAGTCATTTTATTTTTTAAATATCTTTAATAATTAACTCACGAATGTGAACAAGTAGATTGCTATTGCTATACGCTGCTAAAAGGTTGACGTTAAAGTCATAATGACATTATCTTTTACACTAAAGGAAATCATAACAAAAAACAAGAGTAAATCAAATACAGCTTGTTTATACAACAGTACAAAAAAAATATCACTTTGTTAAATAGCATTCGCGTCGATTGCAATATTTTTTGTCTTCACAGACGTCTAGTGTCAACAAGAAGCTGTATTACTAAATATAAAATTTGCACAGGTATTGAACTACAATCCCAACAACTAAAGTTTAAATCTAAGCTTACTATTTTTAAACAGCATTTCACGAATTTCAGTCCTTGATTACCTAATTTTAATTTTAAACTTTAATAAAGTTTGATTTTACTGTTTAAGGTATTTAAAGATATTGGTGACGATTTTTTTTGTTCTTATCCATTTAAGGGCAGAAGAGCTCACCGCTCATCCTGTGTTAAATGAAGTCCATGCACAGCAGAAATTGAATGCTATAGATGTTATATATAGACGTTTTCCCTTAAAATTGTCTGGCAATACACTAAGACTTGGAGAACAAAATAACCATTTACTTAATTTTACCATTTCTTTAATATCACGGGATATAAATATATGATATGATTATCTATTGGTTTTAATAAAAGACGCTATGAAAAAGATTTGAAGAACAAAGGATTGGACATTAAACTCACACAAAACCACTTTTATTTTATAAATTACTAATAACGAAAAATTAAACTAAAACTAAAAAACAAATATAATAACTAAAATATAGTATTCAAAGGAGTCACTTTAGGCAAGGCTCCGAAGATACTGGCAGCGTTCCCCCTTTGAATAGCTGGACTGATTCTTTGTCCGAGGTAGCTGCCAGCTCTTCGGTTTCCTGTGATGTTGACTAACCTTTTTGATATTTTTGATATGACTTAATTACAGAATTTATTCATAAACTTAAGTATCATACGAACCAAATTGGATGAACAATTATTCATGGCGCTTATTAAGATTCAAAAGAGTGTTTTCATATTTCCTGTGTCCTCACCTTAACAATTTTCCTACTTCCTTATGGCCGTACAAAGAGCATTCATGGAGTGGTCCCGTGTGGTTAACTTTTTTGCAGAGAGAGAACAAAATTTGAAATTCCAGAACGTGAGATATTAGGTACCTGTGTAAAATTAACAAAACCACGTGTAAAGAAAAACAACAGAGTTCATAGTAATACTCTAACGAGTAACATGTTACTAACCGATCGGAGGATCGGAGGATCGGAGGTCGGAGACATAATATGAGTCTTCTATAATCCATAACGTTAGGGCAACTGTATTAAATAGGGGGCCTTAAAATCGGAACGCATGAATGTTTCATGGCAGTAAACATAATAATAATTCCTACCCTCGCTCACAGTAATCCGTACCAATTGTAAAAAGGCTTTATTTCTGCCGTGAAGCAGTAATCCTTTTCGGTTTGAAGGATGGGACAGCCGTTGTAACTATACTTGAGACCTTAGCACTTATATCTCAAGCTGGGTGGCGCATTTACGTTGTAGATGTCTATCGGCTCCAGTAACCACTTAACACCAGGTGGGCTGTAAGCTCGTCCACCCATCTAAGCAATAAAAAAAAAACGATGTTAATTACTAAACGGGGTGAAAGACCCGTATTCTGGTCCCAGTACGAAATCACACGAATGCGTCGAGGCAGAAATTAGTAGGGTAATGCGGCCTTCCGTGCGGGTTTTCGGTATGCCTTTCCATCACCAAAGTATGGCTGCTACTAAGGGACCAGGTCCACACGAATTTAGGAAGGAAAAGACATCACAATGTGGATCCTAAATCCAAGATGTTGAAGTCCATGTGTTCCAGTAACTACTTGAAATCAGATGAGTTTTGAATTAACCAGTCTGTCATTACATAAAACCCTCAAAAACGAAAGACAGGCACTGGTAATAAAATACAAATGTTTTCAACAGTGTACTTAATGCGAGTTTTTTTACGTGCTCGATAGCGTAAAAGTTAACTACTAATTTGTTTACCTACGTGTGCCGCTAGGGGCGCTGTTCCAACTGTATACAAGTTCGAGTTAACTTTTACGCTATCGAGAACGTTAAAAAACTGGCACCAAACACACAGATCATATAGGTACACAGTTAAGAAAATTAAATAAAAACACTATCATACCTTCCTCCGCCATAAAGTCATTGAATCGCCTAATGTAAAGCTTAATTTTTTTACTCACGTGATGTATTGAACATGTGACACAACGTGATATTTGGCGGCAGGGTCCAAATCGCTTTCGTTCCTCAACACCGGAGGTGACACGCCTGTCTCTTTTGTCCTGAAATGTGGTAGGTATAAGTTTTTATGATGTATATACATATTTTTACAAAGACCGATTTTTTAATAATAATAAATAAATAAATAAATAGTTACTAACAATCACGCCACGTTAACTGGTCCCGTGATAAGTTCGTAAAGAACTTGTGTTACAGGTACCAGATAACGGATATAAATGTAAGATTTTTATTATACACATACATATATTTAATATACATCCATAACCCTGGAAAAGACATTTATATTTATCATACAAATATCTTCCCTTGGCGGGATTCGAACCCGCGACCCCCTTGTGTAGTGTCACTTACCACTACACCAGACGACCGATTTGGATCTTTGATACATTGTAATAAATAAAGGCTCTGTCAATGACAAAAAATCTAACGAACGTTGCATTTTTTTTAACTGTGTCGTGAAGCAAGATTATGCTGAATTCGTATTCACAACATTAACTTTACTAATGTCCTCTTCACCTACATTTTTAAGTATTCGTGACCTTATGAATAAAACAGCTGGTGTAGATTGGCTAATTTAACTATTTGTACTTATAGCAAACACGTTTTCACGGTGAAGAAATATCATCTTGTTATAAATATTAACTAAGAAAATTACGGTTTTTTTTTATTGCTTAGATGTGTGGACGAGCTCACAGCTCACCTGGTGTTAAGTGGTTACTGGAGCCTATAGACATCTACAAATGCGCCACAACCTTGAGATATAGTTCTAAGGTCTCAGTATAGTCACAACGGCTGTCCCACCCTTCAAACCGAAACGCATTACTGCTTCACGGCAGAAATAGGCGGGGCGGTGGTACCTACCCGTGGGGACTCACAAGAGGTCCTACCACCAGTAAAAACCAGAAATTTGGATACAGTTTTAAAGCCTTTTGGAAAATTCGTTTTAGCCGTTATTTCATTGCAATAGAATTAATTCATCAAAGTAATTTAGCAATTGAAAAATAATAATTTGGCTCATCTTTGTAATTTAAAGGAAATAAATTTTAATATCCACAACTGAGTATACGGAGCACCATCGCGTAGAAATGTAATGTTAATACGCTTATAAAAACTAAATTGATTAAAAACGTAAACGCAGCAGTCATAGTTGTGTACACTTGTTTTTATCTTACAAATTTTGAAAATCAATTTAGTATGTTTGCTTATTTGTGATCTATGCATATTTTTATCATTGTAGCTTTCAATCCAATTTTATGAAATAAGTGCTTTTCGTTCGCACGATATCGCTATGGAACTGGTGGTAGGACCAGTACTGGTGGTAGGACCTCTTGTGAGTCCGCGCGGATAGGTACCACCGCCCTGCCTATTTCTGCCGTGAAGCAGTAATGCGTTTCGGTTCGAAGGGTGGGGCAGCCGTTGTAACTATACTGAGATCTTAGAACTTATATCTCAAGGTGGGTGGCGCATTTAATTTGTAGATGTCCATGGGCTCCAGTAACCACTTAACACCAGGTGGGCTGTGAGCTCGTCCACCCATCCAAGCAATAAAAAAAAAAAAAAAAATCTATATTATTATTATCATCAAAGTAAGAGCGGGTCGTGGCCAGATTTAAATTAGTATTAATTTGTCTACGATTCGCAGAAACCTTAAAAACTACTTATTATGTATGTTAATTTTTTTATGTTAAATACAAAAATAACAAATTTTGTGATAAATTTTGTTACAACATAACAAATTTGTTGTAAATACTGCTATAAAAGCGATTCTACATCAATTAATACGGCAGTAAGAATTAGAGGAAACAAAAAAATACCACGACTTAAGACTTGAGTCTGAGACTTAAGTTATAAGACTTGAGCCCGACGTCTCGCATGAATGCAAGAATATTTCATATCAGAAATAAATAGGGTAACCTGTACATTCTCAATAATCCTAAAAAGTATCCCCGGTTCCTTCCTAGGGTTTTCTTAGGATTGAAACTTCAAACGTCGCTTAGTATCGCTTAATATTAATATTACTGATGGTAGGACCTCTTGTGAGTCCGCACGGGTAGCTACCACCACTCTGCCTATTTCTGCCGTGAAGCAGTAATGCGTTTCGGTTTGAAGGATGGGGCAGCCGTTGTAACTATACTGACACCTTAGAACATATCTCAAGGTGAGTGGCGCATTTACGTTGTAGATGTCTATGGACTCCAGTAACCACTTAACACCAGGTGGGCTGTGAGCTCGTTCACCCCTCTAAGCAATAAAAAAAGTATCGGAATCACTAGGAACGTTAAACTTATTAATAAATAAATAAAAGCAAAATAAAATTACCGTAGATCCCACCAGTGTGCATTCCAGTTCTCCAAACTACTATTCCCGAATATATCCCACCTCCATGTATCCAAAACGTACGCGTACGCCATTAGAGGTATTTTCTCTAGAGCCAGCCAGAGGAGATGGTTTATTGTAACCTCTCGGCCAGTTGATGCCTTCACTAAGTTCAAGGTCTTTAGATGGTCCGGCACGGTTAACTGCACCGCAACGATGTCCGAGATTGCATCGTGAAACGCTATTATAAAACTAAATTTAGCATGACTCTCTGAATAAACATGATTTTTAAAACGGTTAGTTAGATAATGTCTACATTCGAGGTTCAAATTACAAATTTAATTGGCTGGGAAACCAGCAAGTATCCACGTTTATTTTAGATATCAAAATACTTTCTATTCCAATAGTGAAATGAATTAAAATCCTTAAATATCGATACCTGGATTCGGTCCGTCTCTATACAAAGGCGATAAATCCTTGTAATGCTTAAAGTACTGAACATGACCCAGAAGTCTTGCCGCTTGCGATAAGGCCACCTCTACATCTGTGATTTTATCACCGCACCATTTAATCCTGCAAGTTTAAAAGAACAAAGTTTATACTAATTCAAAACATCTTAATTCTTATACTACATTGGGACACGTGTAAGATATTTGAAAAACGAATAACTTATTATCCTACTCAACTGTCTTTACATAAGGTAAATTTGAATTTTAATACAGGATGTTATTCTTTCGTCTCGGACCTCAGTCGGAAGTCGCAGCACATTTTTTTTATTGCCCTTGTACGCCGACGAGCATACGGCCCACCTGATGGTAAGTGATTACCGTCGCCCATGGACTTCAGCAATGCCAGGGGCAGAGCCAAGCCGCTGCCTTCCGTTAAGCACTTTTTTTTTTTTGCGTAGATGAGTGGACGAGCTCACAGCCCACCTAGTGTGGTTACTGGAGCCCGTAGACATTCACAACGTAAGTGCGCCACCCACCTTGAGATACAAGTTGTAAGGTCTCAAGTATAGTTACATGTAAAGCACCTTTATATTTAAAGAATTGGTACCAGCCAGCGGAATTTGAACATGACAGTAGCATCGTGTGATCTCAAACAAAGGATCGAGTATTTAGTCGCTCTAGTTAAAACTTAAAAATACTCCACGGGACGTGTTAAGCGACTTATGTACGATAACAAATGCTCAGTTTTTGAGGTCGGAGAAAGACAATAACTTGACGAAAAATACAATACAATTGTGTACTTTTAGATCTAGAATTTACGATCTAGTTAAAGGCCGATATGCCTGATAGAAATTAATTCGCTTGAATAATTATTTTTCTTTTAAATTTCAGTTCATTTTTATATAGGTATTAGAATACATTCGTTTACTATAAACTAAGTTTATATTAATTATGTAGCCTAAATATTTTCACATTGGATACATTTCTCCTCATTTACTATTCTCACTGACCAGTACATATTTAGTTTGGAAAAAAATTCCTCAAAAGGGTTAACCTGGCCAATTTAAATATCATTTACATGTTTTTTTTTTTACAAGAAGCTCTATTACTTCTAACAAATATTTTATTGTCCTATCGTCGTTGATACGATTCTATATTTACGGTTTAATCTTGTGCTCGTTCTTATAACCAAATTACACAATACAAATTATATTATGTTCATTTCTAATTAACACTTTTATGTTATTGAGGTACTTAAGAAATAAATTAACTCTCTTTTTATTTAATGTTAAATGTGATACAAGCTGGAGGATTTTATAGATTTATTTTTCGCCGAATGATCAAAATTCAACAATAATCACTAGTAAGAAACTCAAGATCTAGATTCTTTATGAATACATATTTTGTGGCTTTGTCGGGATTACATTTGGAAAATAAAATGAACCTAAAAATATATGTATTAACCCATAAATGTATACACATCGAAATGGGTTGACAACAAAGACAACATTTTGCTTATTATTATCATTATTGCAGCCCATTGTCAATTTCTCATTGATATATAGAGTTATGTATATCATTGAAATATAGCCAACAAGCTGTTCGGCTTCAGTAATACGACTCCTTGTTCCTTTACTACCTACCTATCTACCGTCAGTATTTATTTATTTATTTATTTAATAAGTTGCACCAACAAAGTGATCATCAATACAAACATTGACAGATTGACAAAAGTTCATGGCAGATGTCACCTCAATTATAGGTGCAATCGACATTGCATTAACATCAAAAATAAAAATAAAATATACAGCTAAGATTTGGATACATTCAAATATCTTCACGTTAATTACCTAACTTTATCCACAATATCTATCTTTTCTTTGTTATTTCTGCCTTAATTGCCATTGCGATTTCCATCTCATTGGACATGGGATATCAGTCGCGTCGTAGATCCGTAACCATGTCTTAGGTCATTCAAGGATCGATTGCTATCAAATAAGTAAATAGTTACTATTACTATTACTGTAACTATTTACTTAAAACATCAAAATGCAACTCACTTGTAATTAACACCGTCGCACATGTCGTGACTCGAAGGCAGGCAATTGGCTGAAGGAACGCCATCACTGATATCCTTATAAGAGTCATTTGCGGAGTCAAAGCCCAATGATTGATGAAATAAATCAACGGCGTCGAACAAATCTTTCGATTTCAGACCTTGAGTGAACGTTTTGTGTCGATAGTGTTTCGGATACGCTATGACTTTTGGATAAATCGCCTGCCATTCTTGTGCCCATAGGTTTCCTAAAACAGGTTGATAGCTTAAAACAAATTAACCCACAGACACAGCCCACTGAGTTTCTCACCGGTTTGAGCACCGAGAGCTAACCTACAAGCTAGGGTAACGCTGATATAGCCTCTCTAGGCTATCAGCAAAAAAGCTTAAAATATTCACGTTCTTTTTATATGCTGTATATTGAAATAATATCTCATCATCACCATCATCATCTCAGCCTGTCCAGTGCTGAACATAGGCCTCTCCAACTGATATCCAGTGCGGCCGGTCCGTTGTCACCTGCATCCAACGTGACCCAGCAATTTTCACTAGGTCGTCGGTTCATCTAGTAGGTGGCCGTCCCACACTGCGTTTGCCAGTACGTGGTCTCCACTCGAGGATCTTTCTGCCCCATCGGCCGTCCGATATTCGGGTCCGTGTGGTGACGGAGTAAGAATACAATGTGTCACCACCCCTATACTATCCCAGGGAGTCGTTAGAACCGACTATGGGAATATGCACAAGAAACCAGTGCAAGAGAAGGAAAACTCGAAATTAAACCCTGTACCAACCCGTCTAGCCAGCGTGGTACAGTAGGCTAAATACCTCCATGAATAGTAACAGAGAGACCAGGCCCCTAGTCCCTGGCGGCCCCGCTATTCCTGTCTACGGTAGCGGTCACGGTAACGGCGGGGCAGGGGGTGCTAAGAAATAATATCTGTCTTGTGCTTTTTTTTTTTTTTTTATTGCCCTTGTAGGCAGACGAGCATACGGCCCACCTGATGGTGAGTGGTTACCGTCGCCCATGGACTTCAGCAAAGGGGCAGAGCCAAGCCGCTGCCTACCGATGCCAGGGGCAGAGCCAAGCCGCTGCCTACTAATTACTACTTATTACTAAACGAGAGAAATGCTATTCAATTTTATCAGGCGCAATGAAATGTATATTCAAATCGAAACATACCTAATAGATGTGCCGGTATACAATTAGTATCAATTTTAATGTCCTCAGGATAATAAGATTTCAGCTTTAATCTCACATAGTCGCGTATGAGGTTATACAACGGTTTCATTTCATTCCAAATCCTTTTCACAGTTTCAACGAAATCATCGTCATCGTAAGAAAGCCGCCACATTTCACCTGCGTCACTGAAATTCTCTGATTTCGCTACGGCGTTCATTCTCGTAACGTAGTCTTTAAATATTGGACGAATCTTTCGGCCTGTCATGTCACGAAAAGCTTTCCAGTAATATGCCAATTCTTTGGAATCATTGCTCGTTTTGAATATTGTAATGACATCTGAAACGTAAAAAATATAATTGTAATGGGTTATTTTATTGCTCATCTGAGAAGTTAAAAATATTAAATAATTAATAGAAGTTAAAAAACTCGCACTAAGTATGTACTTTGTTAATATGATTACGTTGCGTGCCGCTATCTATCTGTTAAGAATCTAGCTTTTAAAGTTTTTACTCAGTCCTATACTCTGGATTGAAAGGCAATGTAGCTGCTGATCTAATGCAACTAAGACTACGATAAAATATTAAAAGCGTCTAGTATATAAAACGCGCCACCTATCGAGTCAAAATGTGAAAATAAATACAAATCTATTCAAAAGTTCACCCTTTTAGGCAAGAGAAGCAAAGAAAAATGATTTGTACAATTTAAAAGTATAAAATTAATGCAATGTATACCCCGTCTCCGGTACCTTTACTGACATTTAATTATATTTATGTTATGGCCAATGATTTTTTATACAACAGATATGTTATCTTCATAGTAACTGACTCTTCAAATCTGATCGCGCCATATATATCTATATAACTACCGATATAGTGCACACACATGTTGACAAGTAGCATTAATGAAAAGTACAAAAGATGGGATAAGCGCGTGAGTAAAAAAGATAGCTATAATTGGAACAATTGCTCTTGTAATATAATTATTGCATTTGTTTAGATGCGACTAAAGACGAAACGTCCCAATTGGCCTGTTTTCGAGTCTTCACTTGACGTGCGCTTGAAACATAACTGCTTCTTTTTACATATAAAATATCATTGATTATGGCACAATAAATATTTGGCTGAGCCTTTGCTCGCCCACCTGTCCTGGTGAAACTGGAAAAGCCTTCGGGCCACCAGTAAACTTTCAATCATAAAAAAAAAATTTAATATTATCAGAATACAGTAAAGAACAAACGGAAACTACAAATAAAATGAAGAACAATACTAACCGCTCATGGATCGAATGGAATCTTCATTGTTACATGAAGTATTGTAAGCACATAACGATACGCGACTCCATATTCTTTGCATTAAGTCTATTTCTTCTCTTTGCTAAAATATGAAAGGTAGCCTTAAATTTATGAGTTTTTTTTTTTTTTAATGCTTAGATGTGTGGACGAGCTCACAGCCCACCTGGTGTTAAGTGGTTACTGGAGCCCATGGACATCTACAACGTAAATGCTCCACCCACCTTGAGATATAAGTTCTAAGATCTCAGTATAGTTACAACGGCTGCCCCACCCTTCAAACCGAAACGCATTACTGCTTCACGACAGAAATAGGCAGGGCGGTGGTACCTACCCGCGCGGACTCACAAGAGGTCCTACCACCAGTATATTTTGTAAGTTGAAGTGGAAGATGAAGACTTCCTCGTTTTATTATTTTTAACTGTATAATAAATGCGTAGGTATATCGTGCTAACTAGCTAGCCGTTAAGTGTATGACGAATTAACTATATAATTTTTATTGATGTGACAACTTCTTATAATTCGATGCAGTCGGCTGCACGCACGAAAAAACATGACTCATGCGGCGTTACCTCGCTCTGAGACGTACATGTTTTCGTCAAGTATGAAGTTCAGTGAAAAGTGAATGTGGTGTCAATTGTTTATAGTAACGTTAATTGCGATAATTGAAAAATGAAACCATTCCATCAGTATTTTCTTATGACGTTGTCATGTTCAACTATCGTCAGTAAAACGACTTTACAGACAACCGATTTTTATTTTTATTTAAAAAAGGAAAGCAGAAGTTGCTGCGACACGAATTTAGTACAAAAAAGGGTAGTTGCCAATAATTTTTAAATATGTACAATATTTTACATATTTTTATTTCATTAATATATTAGTAGTACACTTCGTTTGGTCAGAATGTAATTTTAAAAGCCCTTTAAATACTTTTTTTTTTTTTTTTTTTTTTTTTTTTTTTTTTTTTTTTTTTTTTTTTTTTTTTTTTTTATTTTTTTTTTGTGTCAGGCACCAAGTTCCGCCTCGCGTGAGTACTGTCATCTCTGGGCCGGGGCTCCAAATCAGTTACTTCATTTGACTCCATACATGGAGGCGTTGGAATTTGTCGATTCCCAGTTACGGTATCGGTTTGGGGAACTCTGGTTGCGGAGGGGAACTTCGGTTCTCTCTGTACTTCTTACCGTATGTTCCATGGGGTGCTCTGAAGAATATGTTCGAGATGTACCGGCATCTCGTTTTTTACCTATCGCCAACCCGCCGCCATTTTCGGGTGAGTTCATAGTACTCCTGGAGACACTGAGGTATTCCCACTAGTGCGTTTCCAGAGATCTTTTTTGCCACGTACCATCCGGCTATGGAATGAGCTCCCCTCCACGGTGTTTCCCGAGCGCTATGACATGTCCTTCTTCAAACGAGGCTTGTGGAGAGTATTAAGCGGTAGGCAGCGGCTTGGCTCTGCCCCTGGCATTGCTGAAGTCCATGGGCGACGGTAACCACTCACCATCAGGTGGGCCGTATGCTCGTCTGCCTACAAGGGCAATAAAAAAAAATAGACACGTATACGGTCCATGAATCAATAACCTTGCGTTAGATGCCAACCACCTCAAGCTCTAATTACTAGAGGGGCCAGGCTTAGGCCCGGTTAACGTATCGTCGAACTCGAAAAGGGTCGCGTGCGACCTACCCTGCAGTCAGCCCGCTGAGTTCTCCGCCGGATCTTTTAGCGGGGTCGGGATTCCGATCCGGTATGTAGATTCATTGCGAAACAATTGCTCTTGAGTTGTTAGGTCTCCGTTCGGGGGCGTCGAGGCAGTTGTTAGCAAATCCCACCCCTCTTGGCTGAGCCTTTGCTCGCCCACCTGTCCTGGTGAAACTGGAAAGGCCTTCGGGCCACCAGTAAACTTTCAATCATAAAAAAAAAAAAAAAAAAAAAAAAAAAAAAAAAAAAAAAAAAAAAAAAAAAAAAACATTTTTCTTGTGTAACGGGCAATCCAGAACAAATGACGTTTCTGAGATATTTCTGTTTAGTAGCCGGATGGTGGCATTGACCCGTGTGGGAATACTATATGAATTAACCCCAGTAATTATTCAAATCTCTATTTATACAACCACCTATAAAACGATATGAATATTAAAATTTGTACGTTTGGATGATTGTTAAACAATCACACAGAAATTGGCAATATCGGATTTGGTTTAAATTACTCTTAGGTATAGTTGTAGCATCTATTAGAAATGAATAGTTTTTTTCGCAAAAAAAATATTACCCGAGCTACGCCGGCTGTTCCTGCTGTATTCTACAGTGTTTTCGAACAAGTCGACTCTGTCCCAAAAAAGTGCAACGTGTTTTAGTCTTTCTTAATTACAAATTTAACGCGGATGAAACGTCTACTTTATATTATTAAAATATTTAAAAAAATTATATAATCTAAACATTTCAAAAAAATAAGACATGCCCCGCTGATTTATTGCCAGTTTCTTCCTCAGGGAGGAGGCTGTTTTGGTGATTTGGCGGTAGTTTCTTTTTGGACGTTCAAAAGTGTGTACTTTCATTTATGTTAAATAAAAACACATTGATTTGATTTGATTTGATTGTTATTTTGATTGCTTGAACAATGCTTGTCTGTTCGAAGGATTGTTCGAAGTGTAAATATTAATAACATTAAAATGTACGGGCCATAATGTAA